AGAGCCGTTTGGATGTGGTGTTTGGAGATATGATTTAGCAGAGGGTTGTTAGAGTACTATGGTTAGGCTGCGGTTAGACTTGATGATCCTTGAGGTCCCTTCCAACCTGAGTAATTCTATGATTCTAAGTGGACCCTGGTCCCAGGGCAAAAACAGTACCACGGAGAGGTTTGCCCTTTCCAGAAGCTGGAAGAACTCAAACTGCCTTTCCCAATATGCCCTTTACATGTACTACAGGGACTTTATCTCCCTCTATGGTACGTAGGGAGTTGGATTGGGTAGGACCATCATGATTGATAAATTCTCTGGTATTGACTAACCAGGTGGCTTCTGCCAAATGCTTCTCCCAGTGCTTAAATGTTCCGCCACCCATTGTTTTCAGCATAGTTTTTAACAAGCCATAGTATTGTTTGATTTTACCAGAGGCTGGTGCATGATAGGGAATATGATAAATCCACTCAATGCCATGATCTTTGGCCCAAGTATTTACAAGAGAATTTTTGAAATGAGTCCCATTATCTGACTCAATTCTTTCCAGGGTGCCATGTCGCCACAGGACTTGTTTCTTGAGACCTAATATGGTGTTTTGGGTGGTACCGTGGAGTACTGTATATGTTTCAAGCCACCCAGTGGTTGCCTCCACCATGGTAAGCAAATAACATTTACCACTGCAAGATCGTGGCAAGGTAATATAATCAACCTGCTATGCCTCCCCATATTTATACTTTTGCCATCGCCCTTCCTCCCAGAGAGGTTTCATTCTCTTGGCTTGATTATGGTGCATGTTTCACAATCATGAATAACCTGTGCAATAGCGTTCATAGTTAAGTCCACCCCTTGGTCTCTAGCCCACTTACATGTTGCATCTCTTCCTTGATGGCCCGAGGTCTCATGCGCCCACAGAGCTAGTAATAATTCAACCTTGTTCTACCAGTCCAAGTCTATTTGAGCCACCTCAATTTTGGCAGTTTGGTCTACCAGATGGTTATTTTGCTGTTCTTCAGTATTACAGAATCGCAGAACGGCCAGGGTTGGAAGGGAACTCAAGGATCATGAATCTCCAACCCCCCTGCCACATGCTGGGCCATTCAATGCTAGACCAGGCTGCCCAGGGCCCCATCCAATCTGGCCTTGAACACCTCCAGGGACAGGGCGTCCACAGTCTCTCTGGGCAGCCTGTTCCAGTGCCTCACCATTCTCTTGGTAAAGAATTTCCCCCTGACATCCAGCCTAAATCTCCCCTCCCTCAAATTAAAACCATTTCCCCTCGTCTTGCAGTTAACAACCCTTTTGAAGAGTTGATTCCCCTCCTGTTCGTAGGCTCCCTTTAGGTACTGAAAGGCTGCAATGAGGTCACCCCACAGCCTTCTTTTCTCCAGCCTGAACAAGCCCAGCTCCTCAGCCTGTCTTCATAGGGGAAGTGCTCCAGTCCCCTGATCATTTTTGAGGCCCTCCTCTGGACCCTCCCCAACAGCTGACTTTCTTCTAATGGGGACTCCACACTCGGATTCAGTACTCCAGATGGGGCCTCACAAGAGCAGAGTAGAGGGGGACAATCACCTCCCTGTCCCTGTTGGCCACCCCTCTTTTGATGGAGCCCAGGATATCATTTGCCTTCCAAGCCGCAAGGGCACATTGCTGGCTCATGTTAAGCTTTTCATCTATCAAGATCCCCAGGTCCTTCTCCACAGGGCTGTTCTCAAGAACTGCTCCTTCCAGTTTGTATGGATACCTGGGATTCCTCTGGCCCAAATGCAAAACTCTGCACTTTGTTGTGTTGAACCTCATCACATTCACTCGGGCCCACTTTTCTAACCTCTCGAGGTCCCTCTGAATGGCATCTCCTCCTTCCGCTGTGTCAAAAGCACCACTCAGCTTGCTGTCATCAGCAAACTTGCTGCAGATGCACTCAATTTCCTCATCGATGTCATTGATAAAAGATGTTAAAGGGCACCAGTTCTAAGAAAGACCACTGGGGGACACTGATTCGCCCTTCGAATTATTACCCCTTATTGATAGTTCAAGCTGGCAGTAAAGAAGTTGCTGAGAAGTCTCAGGACTATTAAGAAAGACTTCAGGGGACCAGGGCAGGTGGTCGAGGGAGCAGGGGTGCAGGTGGTGTTTTCTTCCATACCTTCAGTGGCAGGGCAGGATACTGAGAGCTACCAAAAAACCCACCTCATAAATAATTGGCTTAAAAGTCATTGCAAACGCAGGAATTTTATTTTTTTTTTACCACAGGGCAATGTACTTGGTGCCTGGCATGATGGCAGCAAATGGAAGTAGCCTGTCTCTGAGGGGTAGGAGGATTTTAGCTGAGGAACTAGCAGGACTCGCTGACAGGTCTTTAAACTAGATATGAAGGGAGAAGGGGGCAAAATCATGGCCACTGGGGTTGAGCGGGTCAGTTGAGGGCTTGTACCAAAATTGATGGGTGATGACGGTAAAGTACAAAGGGATGGACTGGGGCAGGGGGATGCTGGGGATACTGCTGTTCTAAGGGAACCTAGATCCTCTATAAAGGTGGTGAGATGGAAAACCCAACTGAAGTGCCTTTATACCAATGCATGCAGCCTGGGAAATAAGCAGGACGAGTTGGAAACCATGATGTGTTTAGAAAGTGATGACCTTGTTGCTATCACTGAAACATGGTGGGATGACTCCCATAACTGGAATACCACCATTGAGGGTTATCTGCTCTTTAGAAGAGATAGGCGAGGTAGGAAGGGTGGGGGAGTTGCCCTCTACGTCAAAGAGTAGATAGACTGTGAGGAGCTCCCTCTGAGAAACAGCCATGAACAGGCTGAGAGCCTGTGGGTTAGAATTAGGGATAGGTTTAACAAAGGCCAGCTGGTGATAGGGGTATACAACAGGCCACCTGATCAAGCAGAGACTGTTGACGAGGCTTTCTTCCTTCAGATGAGGGAGGCTTTGTGCTCATGGGCTCTTGTTCTGATGGGGGACTTCAACCCCCATCTGTATATCTGTTGGAAAGACCACACGGCGAGTAGCAAGAGGTCTAGGAGGCTCCTGGAATGTGTTGTTGATAACTTTCTGCTCCAACTGTTGGACAGACCGACCGAGGTGAAGTATTGCTGGACCTGCTGCTCACCAATGTGGAGGAGTTCATTAAAGACGTTAATGTTGGAGGCAGCCTGGGCTGCAGTGACCATGCCCTGGTCGAGTTTGTGATCTCAAGAGATGTGGGGCTGGTGAAGAGTGGCATCAGGGCCGTGAATTTTCGAAGTGAACTTTAAGCTGTTTAATGGACTGTTGGCCAACATCCCCTGGGATGCTGTCTTCAAAAACAAAGATGTTGAGGAAAGCTGGCTGTTCTTCAAGAATGCCTTCCTGAGAGCATAAGAACTTTCCGTCCCTCTGAATAAGAAAGTGGGCAAAGGAGGTATGAAGCTGGTGTGGCTTGGCAAGGACCTGCTGAGTGTGCTGAGGGCAAAGAAAGGTGCATACAAGCTCTGGAAACAAGGGTGTGTCACCTGGGAAGAATACAGGGATGCCGTCCGGACTTGCAGACGTGGGATCAGCAATGCCAAGGCGCAGGCGGAACTGAACTTGGCGAGGGATGTGAAAAACAATAGGAAGACATTCTACAGGTACATTGGCCAGAAGAGACAGGCCAAAGTGAATGTACCTCCTTTGGTAAATGTAAAAGGAGAACGTGCTTCAACGGATGAAGACAAGGCTGAGGTACTGAATGAGTTCTTTGCCTTAGTCTTCACTGGGGCCAGGATTCCAGTACTTCTCACATCCCTGAGCCCTGCATCTCTAAACCTCTAGGTGGGGACTGGGGCGGTAAATCTGCCCCCCACTGTGAGGGCAGAGCAAGTCTGAGACTGCCTCATGAGACTGAATGTGTACAAATCTATGGGGCCAGATGGTGTGCATCCCAGGGTTCTGAAAGAGATGGCTGAGGTGGTTGCTGAGCCCCTCCATCATATTTGAAAAGTCATGGCTGTCAGGTGAGGTCCCGGAAGACTGGAGGAAGGGTCACGTCACTCCCATTTACAAGAAAGGGAATAAGGAGGACCTGGGGAACTACAGGCCGGTGAGTCTCACATCTGTGCCTGGGAAGATCATGGAAGAGATACTCCTGGACAGCATGCTTGATCACATGAGGAATGAGCGTGTGATCTGAGACAGCCAGAACAGCTTCACCAGGGGAAGGTCATGCTTAACCAATCTGGTGACCTTCTATGATGGAGTGAGGGCATTGGTGGACAAGGGAAAGGTGACTGATGTCACCTTTAGCTGGACTTGAGCAAGGCCTTTGACATGGTCACCCACATCCTTATCTTCAAATTGGAGGGATGTGGATTTGATGGATGGACCACTTTATGGATAAGAAACTGGTAGAAAGGCTGCAGGCGGAGGGCAGTCATCAATGGTTCTATGTCCAGTGGAGGCTGGTAATGAGCGGCATCCACCATGGGTCTGTCTTGGGACCGGTGCCCTTTAACAGCTTTATCAGTGACATCAATGAGGAAATTGAGTGCATCTGCAGCAAGTTTGCTGATGACAGCAAGCTGAGTAGTGCTTTTGACATAGCGGAAGGAGGAGATGCCATTCAGAGGGACCTCGAGAGACTAAAAAAGCGGGCCCGAGTGAATGTGATGAGGTTCAACACAACAAAGTGCAGAGTTTTGCATTTGGGCTGGAGGAATCCCTGGCATCCATACAAACTGGAAGGAGCAGTCCTTGAGAACAGCCCTGTGGAGAAGGACCTGGGGGTCTTGATAGATGAAAAGCTTAACATGAACCAGCAATGTGCCCTTGTGGCTTGGAAGGCAAATGATATCCTGGGCTCCATCAGAAGAGGGGTGGCCAACAGGGACAGGGTGGTGATTGTCCCCCTCTACTCTGCTCTTGTGAGGCCCCACCTGGAATACTGCGTCCGAGTGTGGAGCCCTATCATGGTTTTATGATTTTTGGTCATCAGTATTCCACACCATAACATCATGTAATGCACTGGGAGGTGGGGTTTCCTATCTGCCGAATGTTCGTCTGACGGAGAAGAACTACATTTCCCCAGGAGGCTTTGCGGTCAGCAAGGAGATATAAGTCCATGCACGGTCACCTGATTCCTCTTCTTCGCCTGCTCTTCGCCGTCTGCGCTTCGCCATCTGCACTTCGCCATCTGTTCTTCAGTCACTCAACTGGACTGCACTTCTCACCCCAGCATTGTGGTGAGGTCTATACAATTCAGACAGACTCTTTCTCTCTCTCATTGTATTTTACTAATACTATATTTAGTAAAATCATTTGTTCCACCTCAGATCAGTGCTGTTGTTTTCAAGTATTTTGGGGTCCCCTGCTTCCCCTTTCCCAGAGGCGTGGATCCGCAGATCCCTCCGCCCTGCTGGTCACGCAACTGGGCCGGACCAGGCCATAAACCGTTGACATTTTTGGTGGAGAATGCGGGCAACAATTGCTTTCTAGCTGTTTAGACTCTCTGCTCTCGGAGAGCTTCATTGGGAAAGCTTATCTGTTTCACTGCTACTCTCTGAGAACGCGACCTTGAAAACTCCAGGCGGACTGCCAATAACTTAGGATATTTGTAAACTCTGAGCTTTACTATCTTGCCTCTGTAAAAAAAAAAAAAAAAAAAAAAAAACTTTCTGTTGTGAAACTGACTCTTAAAGGGCTGCATGCTGCATGCTGCTTCTTTTCTAATGCTCAAAACATACTGGGCATTAATTAAGCTTGCCACCTTGCTCTATGGAGCAATTGGCATATACAATCAATTGAAAACATGGGTGGAAATATGGACCTGGCATGTTCGTTCAATGTGGCATACAATTCCGGAACAGATGTCAATTTTACAGGACTGGGGATTTTTAAGGTTTCCAGTCTCACCTTTCAGCCTGTAATGCAGTTTTTGAATGAACACCTAGTTGCATTACTAATCTCCCTGAATGTATTGCTCATCATTTTGCTCAGTATTTATTATATTTTGAGGATGTCCTCCCCAAAACCAGAGAATACTGAGTGGCAGGGAGTGTGGAGAGGTCTGGGAGAGATCTTAGACAGATGGAAATCTTCAGTCTCATGGAACTTTACTCCAGAACACCTGAAAGACCCCGAGAGTCTAAACAGCTATTTAAGGCAGGAATGTTGCGGCTTGGGCAGTTCTGAGGAGGCACATATGATTTGGGGCCTGGCTAATGCTTATCGGGCCTTATTCAATACTATCCTGGAGAGAGAGAGAGCTTCTGAAATTGAAAGGGAGAGCCTCAGGGAAACAGTTCAAAATGAGCGAGAGAGTCTCCTGCTCCAGAGGAAAAACCTCAGATCTGAAAGAGATGCCCTCCGAATTGAGAGAGACTCCCTGCAATCCAAACTCGACAATCTTCAATCTCAACAACACACCCTCCAATCTGAGCTGGATACTGTCATAATCGAACGAAACAAGCTCCAAGCTGAGCTCAAGGATGAGAGCATTGGAACTGATCAACCTGATCAACCACAGGAAGCACCACAACTGATGTCAGTTGCCCCTGTAAGAGGACGGAAAACGAAGCAAATCTCGACTCAGAAGAGAAGAAAGAGGAGGAAAGAGGTCCAGAGGAGTGGCTCCAAGGTCCAAGAGAAGCACCTCTGAGTCCAGGGGCGGGGCCCTCAGTAAGACCATGGTCACCAACGCCTACGAGGGCAAGAAGTCCTGGAAGAGCAAGAGGTGAGCAAGATATCGATCTCTGAAAATGAATGAAATTCGAAGTCTGAGAAAAGACTTCTCATGTCACCCAAACGAGCCTATTGCTACTTGGTTACTTCGATACTGGGACAATGGTGCCAACAGTGTGTGGCTAGATAGTAGAGAAGCTCGCCAACTGGGTGGCATTGCTAGGGACTCAGCCATTGACAGAGGCATTGGTACATGCCAGAACCAGGCCTTCACCCTCTGGAAGAGGATGTTGTTAGCTGTAAAAGAAAGATACCCCTTCAAAGACGATCTGATGCCTGAGAAGAAGAAGAAATGGGCTGATATGGAAGAAGGCATCCGTTATTTGAGAGAATGTGCTGTGGTGGAAACACTACATAGCCCCAATTTCATTCCTGATAAGCCAGACCAAGAGTATGATCCTGAGAGAGCCAGGTGTACACCAAATATGTGGCGTACATTCACAAAGACTGCACCAGCAAGGTACGCCAGTACATTTGCAGCAGTGTATGGCAGAGGGGAAAGAAGACCCCTTATAAATGAGTTGGTTAATAAACTTCAAGACTTTGAGTTACATTTAAGCCCTCTACGAGCTTGTGTTTCAGCCATTGAAAAAGTAGCTGAAAAGCTGGACAGAATGGAGAATAAACAAGAAGATATAATAGACAAACTATCAATCGTGCCTGATGCTGATGAATCCATGGTGATAACAGATACATCCAATGAGGAACAGAATTCCCAAAACAGCCTACTTGAGGGGCTGATCAACTTGATTTCCTCCCAGCCAGTGTCATCCAACGTCTAAGCAATCAAAAGAACACGTCCTCCTGCTTGAACAAGTGGTAACAGTAAGACCACGTCACGTTTTGCCTTGTGGCATTACCTACGTGACCATGGAGAAGATATGAAGAAGTGGCATAAGCAACCTACTCCAGCACTTCAAGCACGGGTAAAAGAATTACAAGGCAAATCAACCACCAAGGTGAACTTCTCCAAAAAGGTGATTGCTCCAGTTGCTGCAGACAACGGAGGTAACAAATAGAGGGGCCCTGCCCCCAGCCAGTTGGGGGAAGGGGATAATAGTTTATTGGACTGTGGATTAGATGGCCTGGCACATCAGAATCACGGAAATATAAGGCCCTGGTGGATACTGGTGCACAGTGCACTCTGATGCCCTCAAGTCACCAAGAGACAAAATCAGTTTATATTCATGGGGTGACTGGGGATTCCCAAGAACTGACTATGTTGGAGGCCGAAATCAGCCTCACTGGTAAAGGCTGGCAAAGGCACCCTATTGTGACTGGCCTAGGGGCTCCATGTATAGTTGGTATTGATTATCTCAGAAGGGGATATTTTAAGGATCCCAAAGGGTATTGATGGGCCTTTGGAATAGCTGCTGTAGACACAGAAGGTGTTAAGCAGTTGTCTGTTCTGCCTGGCCTATCAGAAGATCCGTCTGTTGTGGGGTTGCTACGAGTGGAAGAGCAACAGGTACCAATAGCTACAAAAACGGTGCACAGACAGCAGTACCGCACCAACAAGGATTCCTTGTTCTCCAACCAGAAGTTAATTCGTCAATTAGAGAATCAGGGAGTGATCAGCAAAACTCACTCGCCTTTTAACAGCCCCATATGGCCAGTGCGTAAAGCCAATGGAGAATGGAGGCTGACGGTGGACTACCATGGCCTGAATGAAGTCACACCCTCATTAAGTGCTGCTGTGCCAGATATGTTAGAACTCCAGTATGAACTGGAGTCAAAAGCAGCTAAGTGGTATGCCACCATTGACGCTGCTAATGCCTTCTTTTCCATTCCTTTGGCCAAAGAATGTAGGCGACAGTTTGCTTTCACATGGAGGGGCATTCAGTATACCTGGAATCGTTTGCCCCAGGGGTGGAAACATAGCCCAACCATTTGTCATGGGTTGATCCAAGCTGCACTGGAACAGGGAGGTGCTCCTGAGCACTTACAGTACATTGATGACATCATTGTGTGGGGCAACACAGCAAAGGAAGTTCTTGAGAAAGGAGAGCAAATAATCCAGATCCTTCTGTGTGCTGGTTTCACTATTAAGCGAAGCAAAGTGAATGGACCTGTCCTAGGTGTAAAGTGGCAAGATGGCCGTCGTCACATCCCAGCAGATGTGACTGACAAAATCACTGCCATGTCTTCGCTCACTAATAAGAAAGAGACACAATCTTTTCTGGGTGTAGTGGGTTTTTGGAGAATGCATGTTCCAAACTACAGCCTCATTGTAAGCCCCCTTTATCAGATGATGCGGAATAAGCATAATACTGCATGGGCTCCTGAGCGAGTCATGGTTTTATGATTTTTGATTATCAGTATTCCACATCATAAAATCCCAGTGCACTACATGATGTTAAGAGTTAATGCTCCAGTTCCGGGTACCTTTCCTGGAAAAAAAGAACTACATACCTTAGAAGACTTATCATTCCTGCTCAAGTGGAAAACCTCAATAGGTCACCTGACGTTCCTCTTTTTCCATTATCAGGCTTGCTCGCTGCTGCTTGTCCCGACTGCACACTGTTAGCGTAAGGTCTTCAGCTTTTTCGGACATTCTCTCGTATTTGATTGATTAGCTTCAATTCTAATTATATAATATTACAGTACATTACCTTGCATTACAATACCACATTTAGTTAGTTTGTTTCTCCTCAGATCATTGCTGCTGTTTTTACTTATTCAGGGTCCCCTGTTTTCCCCTTTCAAGAGGCATGGATTCATGAATCCATCCGCCCTGCTAGTCACAGAACCAGGCCTAACCAGCCCATAAAATGCTAATGCATGAGTACCGTTACTTCGGAGAAGTATTTATTTTTCATCCATACAATAAAAGTATAGACATTGATTTTAAAACTTATCTTCTTGCACACATAAAAATTGTAAAAAGAGAAGAGTTTTACAAAGTATTAAAAAGTGGATGTAAAAGTAAACAGTATTTTCTATTACTTTGCCCATAGGGAAAAATAAGTAAATACAAGTAACTCACATCTACTTTTTTAAACTATTTGACCTTCCTACTGTTGCAGCTTCTTCTTCTTTTTTTCTGGTTCATTGCTGTGGTTTGTCTCCGTAGATAAATGTGAAGGAACACCACTTGCAAGTATCTACAGTAAACCAACAAATCAGAAAACAGCATTTTAGCTTCTACTATTCTGGTAATACATTTACCTTCTACAGCTACACTATCCTCATGAGAAAACACTAATCATGTAACGAAGTGTTTAGCATCGCATAGCTATCACAGCTCAAACACTAAGCAAGCAGCAGCTTCCTTCTAAATGAAACACTAGGCATCAAACTGAGTCCTTGTCAGGCTCAATCTGCGGCTCTGATTATAGCCCAGCAAAGGGACGTTACATTACGCCTTGGTAGAAATTGGAAAAATGGAAAGCAGACAATACAGAACAAGGAGGAATTAGAATAAAGAAAAGCCTGTGTCTTTACAGAGGCATGGTAAACTGCACTCTAGGAAAGAGGTCGTTAAAAGGCATGCTACGCTTTCCTTGAGAATACGTAAAAGAGTGGGTGAAGCAGGTTGTAGAATGAAATACTATTGATTTTAGTAACTGAACCAGGATTAGACCCATGTATGTTTCTCTGCAAGTGAGTCTATGGGCTAACTGCAATGCCTGACCAGTAAAGAGGTAACAGGTACTTCAGAAACTTGATGCAAGGAACTAATTACTATGATTTCAGTATCAGGATAGAAATGATTTGAAAATTGCAAGAGCATGTACCAGAAGAAAAGTCATGCTACTTGCTCATTCAAGTTATATTCTAATATGGTTACAATTAATTGCAGAGTAACACAGGCACCTATACTAGAATTAAAGACCCACCACCATAAACTTAAGGTGTGGATTTGTTAAGACACCTAGGATGAAAGTAACCGTTATGACAAGCTAGGGAATATCAGACTGTGAGAAGACAGAATGTGAAAGCAAAAATTTAATTGTTCTCAATGAGCAAATGTCACAAGAAAGCATAAAGCATTCTAGCTTTCTAGGCTGTGTAATGGTATATTTTCTGGAGAAATTAGTTAAATGATCCCAATTCAGACTACTACAACAGACCAAAACACGTTTGGAAACATGATTTCTCAGAAAAACCTAACATATATGTATAAACAGTCATATTTTGTTTATTTTCACTTCCCCTGCATTACTGTATTTATTCATTTTATATACTCAATTACTGCAACAAACCATTTACCAAGAGTCATGTGCAACGTAATGCAAGTACACACAACCTTGTACTGCCATGCAAAACATTTAGCAGGCCTGAGGCATGAGACCAAGTGAAAACCCCAATGTCTCAGATGCAGAGAGAAGCAGCTAAAAGCAGAAACAGTTTTTAAAGCCAGACACACACTAAATAAGAGATTACAGTTGTTTCAGTATTATCACGAGAGACTCTTGGATTGTGGAAGTTGTGGTAAGAAAGCACTGCCATTTATGTACTCTGTGTTCATTAAAGAACCAGCAATTACAGCTTCCTTCTGAGAATCCCATCAGAGTTGCACAGTAATTTACTGGAGCTAAAAGAAGATCCTACTGAGTTCTGGCAGAATTTCAGAGCAATTTGATTACAGAACCACACAACTTAAGATAAACCATTTCAGCAAATCATCATCCTTCCAACGGTAATATTCTTAATGGGCCAAGAAAGGAAATTTCATTTAGAATCCTTCCTGCTTTTCAACACACAGTAAAAGCAGATCTATGTTTTAATGAGAATAGATATGAAGCAAATCACTATAGATTTGCTCACTGATATTTTCTTTTTTGGTTGATTTTGGAGGTGTTTTTTTTTAAAATAATTTTTATTTTTTACTTTTAGGTTGTATTTCAATTTTGCTGTATCCTGACCTTCAGG